GCTGGGAGGGAGCTGCCCATGGGACCAGAGCTGGCTGCTCAAGGCAGTGGGAAGCCATGGGCAGGTGACAGGGTGGCCTCTCACTTTGGGAGAAAATCATGTCTGCGGCACCACTGGCAGCCAACACAGTCCTCAGTCCCACTGATGCCTCCCAAGGTCAGTACGGAGGAGGCATGGGCGAGGCTGCGCCACCCTGGGCTCAGAGCGGGGACAGGGCAGGGACTCTCCTGGGCACTGGGGCTGGGACACCAAGCCTGGGTGGGGCAAGATGGCATGGAGAAGCCCCCAGAGCTCCCCTGCCCCAGGAAGCTGGCACACACAGCAGTTGCCCTGGTAGAAGATGCTCTGGTGGCTCCGGCCACCCTGGGCGCCAAGGGGCTGCTGCCAAGGCCGGCAGGGTGTGGGCCCTGCCCTGTCCTCACCACACCAAGCCCTGGCGCCTACACAGATCTTTGTCATAAACCAACTGCCACCTGTACACAGCAGCCAGCACCAGCTGCCAGGCTGTCAGCCCATCTGTCCATTCACTCTCGCCTCCCTACAGCTGCTGTGTCCCCTCCAAGCACCCCCAGGGCTCTGGCCCGGTGACCAGGAGCTCAGTGTGACCCTGCCAGGAGGAGCCTCTGGCACTGGCCAGCGTGGAACACGCACCCAGCCAGGTCACCAAGCCCTTTACAAACACCGTGGGGTACACACCGGGGCCGGGCCCATGGCAGCCGGGGCCTTCAGAGGGCAGGCACTGCTTGGGTGGCCAAGAAGGGGCTGCGCGGAGCTCAGAGAGTCTGAGCATCTGGCAAGGCGGTGCTGGCCAGGGTGATGAAAGTGTCCACTCGCGTGCAATGCGTGCATGTGTGTCGTATGTGTGTGCATGTGCGTGTGGCCTGTGTGTGTACTGGGGGCACGTGTGTGTACATGTGTGAGTGTGGGGGGTGGAGGCAGAAGGGGCAGCAGGAAGTGGCCCCTGTTCTGCCCAGGCTGGCAGCTCAGACTGGGCGGCCCCAGAGCCGGAGTAAGGTGGGGGCCTGGACCTGCAAGGGTGCCCAGGGGTGGCTGGCCATCGTGGGCGGAAGACTGTGGCCAGGATCTGGACTGGAGGATGCCTCAGGGCCGGTGTTTTGCCCAGAGAGGGAAGCTGGGGTGGGTTTGCACTGGGGCTCTCAGTGAACATGAGTCTGAGACCTGGGCAGAGTGGTCCAGCTGGCCACAGCAGGCCAGAGTTGGGGTTGGGCAGAGTACAGTTGGGCACTCCTGGTACCACACAGGTGGGGGTGGGCCTGAGGCTACAGAACAGGAACCCAAGGCCCTGTGCCAGGCAGAGTGACCCCTGGCTGCTGCCTGACCCCTTATCGGAAGCTGGAGAGAATGCAGACCCCAAAGACCCTGACCCAGGAGTCAGTTTACACACTGCCCTCAGCAGCTATGGGACCAGGAGCCAGGGCAGCACACATGGGGCCAGGCAGCAGGTCCCAGGGTACAGGGTCCCAGCTGGCCACTCAGGGCCTAGACCCCTGGGCACAGAGCCAGGGAGGGGACTAAGCAACACGTCAGACCCCCCTCACCCCCTCCCTCAGTGCCTCGGGTGAAGACCCAGGAGAACTCCTCTCTGCTGGCCGCTCAGGACACGCACAGGACAGCTGCACTGTCCAGACCGTCCCCTCTCTGTGGACCCCCACGCAGCCCCAGGGACGAGGCACCCCTGCCCCCTGTTCCTGACAACAGGAGAAGCTGTGCTCAGGAGGCAGCCTCTTGCGACCACATGGCCCCATGCTCTGGGTGTGGAGCAGCAGAGATGGGAACAGCCTGGCACTGGCTCCGCCTGCCCACCTGGCCGCCCTCCTCCATGCTCCCAAGGCAGGGAGAGAGACTGGGGAGGGCCAGGTGGAGGCAGCGAACTACCCTACACACTCCCTGGAGGCATCTCCTGCCTCGCTCCTCCTGGGCTGGGCCCCTGCAGCAGTGGCCTCTGGACCCCAGCTCCCCACAGCTCCCCGCCTCCTCAGCCCCTCCCCAGCCTTATTTACCAGCCCCTAAAGGACCCCAAGATGCAGCCTCCCCTCCTTGAGTGATGCCCGCACCTGGGCCCCCTCAGCCAGCAGTGGCTCCCACCCCTGTCCTGCCCACAGGACCACAAAGAAGCCCCAGCCCCTCCCCAGTCCCTGCGGGGACCCTCCCCACGGTCCTCCATGCCTGGCACATAGGTACCCATCTCCAGCCCCAAGGACCCTGAGCAGTTGCTACTGGGTCACTTTCCCCAGGTGGCCCCGGTGGAGAGTCCGTGTGTCCTTCCTCATCCAAGAGCTGCCCCTGGTCCTGCACCCAGCAGGCCAGATCTGGAAGGCAGCCGGGCTCCCCACAGCGGCCCACAGCGCACGCTGCACCCTCAGCACGCACACTGCCGGCTTCCTCCAGCTCCTCGGCGAGAGGCTGAGAGAGAAGCTTCAAAGCGCCCAGCGCACATCAAATGCCAGCCTCCACGGAAACAACTGAGGCCCTGAGTGTGTGGAGCTGGTGCAGGACACGTGAGCAAGACGGTTCCAGGCAGCATTATGGGAAGAGAGCTCCCCATGGCGCCCGGGCGCCACACACAGGGCACCAGAAGCAGTGGTTAAGACCAGTATCCAGGACAAGCTCCAGGTCAGAGGAGCTGAGGGCCCAGGCTGAAGCCCGCAGGTGCAGCCAGACCTCCTCTGCCTCTCTGTGTCCTGCTCCTTCCTGCAGCTCCTCGAGTCTGACTTGCTTCCATCAGGAGGAGAAGTCACACAGAGCAGACAGCGTGGCAGTGTGGGGTCTCCAGGGAGGCCTGCTCTGGGCACTTTGGGGCGGGAATCCCACACACGTGTCCTGCCTGTGGACACTCTTGTCCCCTCTGCCAGCCCCGTGGCCCCAGCCAAGCCTGATTCCTGCTCCAGCTGGCCTGCAGCCCTGAGGGCCACAGTCTGGTGCCCCTGGAGACAGGCAGCACGGGCTGGAATCCTCTCAGTACACACAGCCCTGCAGGACAGCCCATCTCTAGCCACTCCGCACGCTGGGACCCCTGGGACCCCTGGGGCCAGTTGGGCCCTCTCTCCCCCATCGAGGCAGAAGCCCAGCTGTATGCACCTGGCTTAGCAGCAGACATCCGTCTCCCAGAGCTACGCAGCCTGGCCCACACCTGAGCCACGGCAGCTGGGGCTGGGCTGTGGAGGATGGGCAGCGTGCGGGGAAGAGCCCCCACCCCGCAGGCTCAGTAGTCCTCCCCACTGCGGCCTGCAAAGCCATCAGCTCTCCGAGGCAAGCATAGCCCACCCCAGGGCAGGGTGGGCACATGAATCCCTGCCCACCTCCATGCCAACCATACGTTGGGAGGAGGAGAAACTGTTGGAAGTCCCAGAAAGAGAAGGTGCCACGCTCTGGCGCAGTCAGGTGGCTGCCAGGACAGCTCCCAAGGCCAGCAGGCCAGGAACCACCCTCCCTGCAAGGAAGCCCTGGTGTCTGTCCAGCCCAGTACCGCCCACTTCTGACTTTCTGCCTTTGCCATCCATGACCCCAGGGGCACGGGGGTGAGGGATGGGGACTAGCTTCCCCAGAGGATGGTAAGTTGGTCAGGGCCTGAGAGGGGCTGGCCTGGGATGTCAAGGCCTCAGCACCCTCCACGGGGCATCTGGGCCTCAAGGCCTTGGGTTTGGGGGCCAGGGCCACACCCCAACAATGCAGCAGCCTCTGCCCACCATGAACTCCTGCGCATCCTGCCCTGCAGCCAGGAATTGGCCTGGGTTTCTCTTCCTGAAACCCGTTACCACGGATACACAGAACTAGGGCAGACAAACTGCATAGGGGCTGCAGCCACAAGGGGCAGCAAGGTGCGGAGAGGCCTCCACCACTGTCCAGCCCCACCCCAGCCAGCCAGCCCCTTGCCCTCCCTAGCGGCCATCCTGGTCCCCAGCAGGGTGCCTACTGGGACGGACCAGCGAGGTGGGTGGGTGCGAATCACAGCTCAGCCCAGCCCCTGGCAGCCTTACTGCCCCTCGGGAGAAGGGGCCTCTGTGGGATGCAGAGGCCTTGGGTCCAAGACCAGGCGGAACAGAGTGGGCTGGTACCTGTGGCTGGGCTCCGTGCAAGCCGCCTGCATAGGACCCTGAACCCAGTGGGCCAGGGCCACCCAGAGCCCCCCAGACCCACTCTGCTTGGGGCACCATGCTGACCCCACGCACACACAGGTGGGGGGAGCTGAGCTGCACGGCCAGGGCAGGGGCCCGCCCAACAGACCAGGACCCACTCCCACCTAGACCAGAACCGCCACACAGCTAGAGAGGCAGCATCGCTGCTGCTGCCTGCCCTCTGGCAGGAACCCTTCCTGGCCCGGTGGCGCTGCCTTGGGATTCTTTACAGACCTGGGGCAGACCAGGGCCCGACCCCTGCCCTCAGAGCAACCCCCGGGCCAAGACCGGCCTGACACAGCATCAGTACACCAGGCTGAGACTCTGGGCTCTGCTCACCCCGCCCACGGGGAATCATGCTCCCTGGGGTCCGCCAGGCAGCATGGAGATGAAAGCGCAGGCAGCAGGGTGGTGCTAGTGGAGCGACGCATCTCCGCCTGCGGCTGGCAGGGCCTGTCGGGGCACACCTGGGGACCTAGGGAGAGCATGCACAGGGGCAGGCAGAGGCAGGCCTAGCCCGCAGCAGAGCAGCCGGAAAACCGGAGCTGAGAGTGAGAGGCAGCCCCCACCGGGCCCACACCCGACCCGCCAGCCCCTCGGATCAGGACCCGGGCCTGACAGAGCTGTTCCCAGCGGTCAACCCAGCCCCTCGCCCAGCTGGGCTGCACCACGTGCTCTTCGTCCAGCCAGCCAGACTCTGCCACGTGGAGGGACAGGTGCGTGTGGCCGCCCCGCAGGGTGCCTGGGCTCCCCGACCACGATGCACCCTCGGGGCCCTCACGGGAGGTCCGTGCTCCCTGGGGCTCTGGGAACAGTCCCTTGGCAGGAGAACCACTCTGCCTGGCCCGGAACAATCTCACTCACCCACAGGCAGAATGTTGGCGCTCAGGAAAAGCCATCTGCAGTCCGGAGGCGGCCCTGGGTCCTCGGGTGGAGCAGCAGCACTGAGAGGCCCGGCCGGTGGGGGAGCCATGCTGGAGAGAGGGCTGTGGTGGCCTGGGGTCAGCAGGAGGCAGGAGGCTGCCTGGAGGTGCCTGTGCTCCCCCAGTGTCCCCTGCAGGAGTGACAGCAGGGTGTGTTGCCCATCACAGGCCTGGGGAGAGCAAGAGGCAGAGTCAGCCAGGTCTGTGAGGGTCCAGTGAGTGCCCTGGGGCGGGGTTACGCCACAGCAACCCCTACTGGAGGACGCCAGGCTGCAGCCCAGCTCCCCAGTGCTTATGAGAACAGAGGCGGCCAGGGAGGGGGCAGCCGGGCCAGGAGGCCTGGGGGCCAAGAACGTGGGGCTGGGGCTGCAAACCCTCCTGTTCTTGGTGGGCACCAGGTACAGTTGAGCACTGCTGACCGAGCCACAGGCCTCCTTGCCAGAGTGCCTGCTCCGCACCAAGGAGGCATCTCAAAGTCTGGCAGATCAGAAGCAAATGGGAGCCAGCCAGCCTCACAGCAGAGCAGACCCTGCAGAGCCAGGGCACTCAGACGCCCAACAGGGCTTGGCCACCTAGAGCTCCCTGCACCCCTTTTTTGCCTACAGTGTCACCGCAGGTCCAGGGTCTCAGCCCCCACTCAGTCCTGGCCATGAACGGAGGCCCCGGGTTTCCTAGGCAACCATCCTCCTGGAGGCTTCGTGGCAGGGCTCCAAGCCCCCCTGCTCCCCCAGGTGCCCGCTCCCACCAGCTTCCTGCCCTGCCCCAGGGCCCCGTGCCCCAGCCCTGCAGCCCCCGGCTTGGAAGCTTCCTGCCTACCCCTCATCACCCTCCAGTCCTGCCCAGCGCCTTCCACAGCCTCCTGGCACCTCTTCCTCAGTGCCTTCCCTCCCCTAATCCATCCTCCCTGGAGCCACAGAGACTGCTAGGGGCCAGGGCTGTGGTCACAGGACCCTGGAGCCCTCCGAGCTGCCCAGGACAGGGTCTCTATGGAGACGCCTGGACCCTGCAGACCCCAGAGCCACTCTCTGCCCCGTGGGGAGGGCAGCTAGGGCCAGGGCAGAGCCCCTCTTCCACTCACAGCCCCCCTCAAGCCAGAGCTCCATCTCCAGCTGGGAGCAGCCAGACTGGGCTCCAGGTCCTGGCCTCAGGGCCTGTGGAGAGTGGGCTTCAAACAGCCCCTGCTCGCCCTCCACTCAGGCCCCTCCTCTCTCTGGGGGCCCTCACTGTCGGCCCGGCCCTGGCTCACCGAGGCTGTGGGGTCTCCCAGCCCAGACTCTCCTGAGGCACCGGCTGCAGCAGCTCCCCAGCCACCAGGCTGAGCCCAGCACCAGCCCTGTCGGCACCCACCAGGTGCCTGCAAGTCAGCTTCCTGCTCAGCCGGAGTGGCTATGCCTCAACATGCCTGCCGGAGCTCGGGGAGGCTGGGGCTTCGGCTGGGCTGGCACCACGGAGCCTAATTAGACAACAGCCCCGTGCACGCCGGCCGCCACAAGCCAAGGTGTGGCCGCCGAGGACCATGAGGTCAGCCGCTGGCATGGGGCCCACCACGCCTGGCACCTGGGAGCCCCTGCCTACCCTCACCCCAGAAGCTGGCCCTCTGGCAGGGTGGGCACCAGTGGCAGGGGCTGCAGGTGGAAGGTCCCGGCTGAGTTGCCAGGCCTGTTCCCCCTTGGACTGGCCGTGGGCTCAGGCCGACCCCCGGGAGCCCAGGCCAAGGCAGGAAAGCCTCCCATCTCAGACCTCTGGCCCTGCTCCGACCCTTGGGAACTGGCTCCATCATGGGTACCTGCTCACTGGCCTCACACAGGGCCAGGCCGGGCCCAGAGCAGAGAGGTCCCCCTGCCCCTGTCACTGCGTAATCAGGGCATCCAGCACCTAGCCAGGACCAGGGGTGACATCCACACCCTGATGGTAGACTTTCCTCCTCCGAGGGACCAGCCCCACGCCCCCGGGATCGCTGAGTGTGAAGGGGCTCTCAGGAAGCAGCCCCAGGCTCCAGCCACCCTTGTCAGCTGCCCCCCCTTGGGCCAGCTCCGGGCACCTGCTCAGCCACAAATCCTGAGCTGGCTCCCCACCCTGGCCCCCCTTGACAGCTTCCATTTTCAGTGCCTGTGGTGGCCCCTTCCCGGCAGCGCCAGGAGCCCCCACAAGCCCCAGCCTGCCGTCCCTGCTTCTCCCCTCCCGCCGCCCACCTTCTGCGTCAGTGTCAGGAGCTGAGAGGCCATGCCCTTTCCTGGCATCCCATGGCTCAGGGAGTGCCGAGGGGCAGCCTGTGGGGGTGTCAGATGGAGGAGTCCTCTGCCTCCTGGTCCCAGACCCTGGGCAACACCACAGATAAATCCCTCTCTGAAGGGAGAAACGGAGGCCTAGAGAGAGCAAGGCCCTCAACCCTCAGCACCCCACAGCCCGGCTCCCCTAGACCTGCTGCCCAAGGCCCCGCAGGCTGAGCCTAGTCACAGCAAGAGAGTGGCCACCTGCCCCTACTCTCCTGGCCCCAGGCCTGGCAGCCAGGGCCTCCGCTCCAGCCCCCACCTCATGGAGCTCCTCAGTGTTCCCGAGGGCCCCTCAGGGCCACACTCACATGGGCCCACTTATTCCCGTGCCCTGCTAGCCCTGCCTGCAGTGGCCAGGCTGGGCATGGACTTGAGGGGTGCACCTGTGCCCAGAATCCTGGTGATGCTGGAAAGGGCAGGTCCGTGGCATGGCAGGCGGCCCGGAGCTTCCCCTCTCCAGGGCCCCTCCCTCCCAGCCCAGGGCCCCACTGCCCACCCTGGCTTGCAGGATGCAGGGAACACAGAGCTGGGGCTGGGCTGAGTGCCCGCAGGCCCAGGAAGGTTCTGCCACCGCCTGGCTGGCTGCACCGGGCAGCAGCGACCCAGCCCAGAGTGAGAATGGAGCTCACGCCGCTGTGGGGGGACCTGTGCCCCAAGAGGGAGACAGGAAAAGGCCGGGGGGGCCGCTAGGTGGGGATGCATGTGTGGGGCACCCAAGTCAGGAGCAGGAAGAGAGGGGCTGTGTGGGAAGGAGACAGGCCTCGGAAGCCCAGCAGGGACAGCGAAAATCAACATGGCACACAGTGGCCAGAGAACCCCAGGGTGCTGCTTCCCAAAGCGGGGCCCACAGAACCCTGTGAGCCAGAACCTTCAGAGCCCCACAAGGTCTACGCTGCTTTCCTAGCAAGTGCTGTCTTTACCCTGTGCTGACACTCACAGGGAGGGAGGGTGACACCACCCAAATAGGGCCACACCCCAAGCTGAGTTAGGGAGAAGGCCATTCTCCAACTGAGCGGCACACACACCTGGAGTCCCCTGTCACCGGAAGGAAGCTGACAAATGAACCACAGCTGTGCCAGCTCAGACTCTGACAGATCTTTTCTGGAATGTGAGATCAGGCATGGTGGTACACACCTATAGTCCCAGCTACTCGGAGGCTGAAGCAGGAGGATCACTTCAAGGCTGGCCTGGGTAACAAAGCAAGATCCTATCTCAAAAAAGAAAAGAAAAGAAAAAACCCAGTAAGCCTGCTACTTAAACAGGGAAGCTGCAGGACCTACTGCCAATCATGGAACTCAAGCTCGGAGTGAAAATTAGCCCTTTGAAAACTCGTACCCACTGCTGCGAGCCTGCCAGTTCCCAGACGTGGAAGCCTCTGCTGAAGCTCAGCAGCAACGCTGACATGATTCCTGAATATCAAGGCTGAAATGGTCCACACCGGGGAGACCTGCATACCCAGGGGAGCCAACCCCCCCCCCGGTTCAGGTCCACTCTGCAGCCACCTTGAGGACACTGCCACAGCCACGTGGGGAGGCCACACATCCATCCATGAGGCCAGGTTTCTTCCAAGACTTCCACAACAACACAGGCCACAGATGGGCCACGGGGCCCTGGGAGAATCCAGCTGTCATGCCATGCCAGACACCTGGGAGATTTGTAAAGATGTAAAGCATGTCGCTTTTCTTGCTGAATTTTTGTTTCGAGCAAGTACAGTTTTTCATAAACTGCTCATATCAATGCTATTTATATTACCATGCCATTGGTTTATTGCTATTTTTAACAAGGCCTCATAAAAAAAGGCTCTTCAACTGTCACTTTGATTTCTAAAGGGGAAGCATCTGGTGACCAAGAGGGGTGGCTGGTCCAGGCTGAACCACTGCTCTCGGGGCCGGGCTGGTGTTCACCATCTCTGTGGGGTAAATATCCCCACGGGAGCAATTTCCAGGCACTAGTGGGAGTCCACTGACTGCCAGCTTGGGCAGAGATGAGCAGCACATGCAGTGCAGAGGGCGAACCTGTGGCACAAGTGTTACTTGCTTTTAAGACAAGAGATGTTAATGTATGAGCTGTTTTTCCTAAACTAAAACCTCAGGCTCCAGGTTTAATTGCAGGGCTGGTGCTTTGCGATAAGTAAGTGGGTTTGGGGTTTATAGTTGGGCACTCATCTCTAAAAGGTTTGCCATCACTCATAGGGTTTATTCCCACTACCCAGACACAATAAAATTGTACCTAGATAAGGGCAGACATAATGGTAGGATGTCAATAATTAGAGAGTGATATGTTCCGGGTGTTCAACACCTTGGGTTTTTAATGTAATTTGTGTTTTACATACATAATTAGTTTAATTTGACTAATAGTGGCTGTGTTCAACAACCAGCTCACAAAATGACTGGAGCCCAGAGCTGGTGGAGACGGCTAGCCCACCCCCGGGCGATCCATACCAAACAAAAGGTCTCTGGGCGCCTCCAAAATGGAAGATGAAGGAAGCTGGGTGCAGTGGTGCACACCTCAAATCCTAGCACTCAGGAGGCTGAGGCAGGAGCATTGTCACCCAGCCTGGGCTACATAACGAGACCCTGCCCTCCACCTAAAAACAGGAGGGCAAAGGCCCTGAGGCCAAAGCCTTTGGTACTGCTGATGCTAAGAACCCTAGCAGCAGAGGAAGCCCCCACAATGGCAGCTCGGGGAGCCCTGCTGGCGCCCAGCACCTGCTGAGCTCCTAGCTGATGGCTAGCACCCCAAAGGTGCCAGTGGGCCTCCTGGTGCCCACCCCTGTCCCAGCACCCAGCTCGTGGGGAGGCTGCGAAGGCCCTCAATGGGGACCTTCCCCCAACCAGGGGTTCCCCCAGGGCCCTGGGTGGGGTGACCGTGCCAAGGCCAGCACAGCCTGAGCCTCGGAGCAGAGTGCTGCACTGTCCGCCTGAGGGACAGCAGGGAGGGACAGACGGGCAGGAGGAGCAGGCTGACCGGCAGGGACGGGCTGTGGTGAGGGTCCCGAGGAGGCACAGGTGCAGGGGCAGGGGCAGGATGGTGCCTGCCAGATGGCCCAGCCTGGGCAGGAAGAGGGGCGGCCAGGCAGCAGCCTCTATGAAGGGACAGGGTGGTCCACGCTGCCCTGTACACTGGCACAGCCCCAGTGGCCTGGGCCTCCACCTCCCTGCAGGGCACTGCCCTCTGCCCTTCCTAGCCACCAATGCCCAAGGCTTCCAGACCAGGCTGGGCCCAGGCCAGAGCTCAGCTCCAGGCCCACCCCGCCCTACATCCGGCCTGGGGATCCGGACAGTGGTCCCCTCCCCTCAGGCCCCCAGGATCCAGGATCCCTGGGAGGTGGTGGAAGAGGTGGAGCTGATGCCACCGGGATGGAGCCCAGGGCCTGGCAGCAGCTCTGCCCCTCCTGCCACTGCGCCTTGGGCAGGGCCGAGTTCCCAAGCTCCCGGGAGGTGTGGCGTCTGCATGAAGGCCAGGACAGCAGGGCACCGGAGGCACCGCGGGCACAGGGACTAAGCAGAGATGTGGCCTGAAGTTCTCACCTCCACGCCACTCCTTCCCGGGGCCTCCCGGCCTCCCATATGCTCTGGGCCACGCCCCATCCCAACTTCAGGGCCCCCGTGCAGACCAGGACACCAGCCAGGAGGGCCCTGCAGGTGCTGTCCGCTCAGGGCTGGGAGAAGATGCCGCAGACCCAGCCTTACCTCCCGGCCTTCACCTGCCAGGACTTCAGAACAGCCCCCTGGATGTGCTGGGAAGACCTGGCCTGCAGGGCAGGAGTGGGGGCACCGCCTCCTAGGAACCGGGGCAGTGTTTGCCTGACTGGGATCCTGCCCTGTGGAACAGCTCCTCGGGGTGCCCTTATTGCCATGGGCGGACTGAATGCCAGGTTCAGGCTGAAGCTTCATCCTGGGGGCACTGGGGAGCCAAGGAAGGTTCTGAGGCAGAGGAGTGAGAGCAGGGAGTGAATTGCTGGGCCGTCTAGTTCTGTGCCAGGAAGGAGACCTGCAGGAAGCAGTGGGGGGTACCCAGTGTGACCCATGGGCCTTCTCATTCCCGCAGGCCACGGAGCAGAAAGATCGGGCTCCATCGATGCTGGCCTGGGCTCAGCCAGACCTCAGTGGCACTGCTTCCCCTATCATGTTGTTTTGCTTGCTTCTCTTGCTGCCCGGTTCAGGGACCCAGGGTCTTTACTAAGCTTCATCCCCTGACCAAGCACCCAGGCAGGCTGGGCTGGAACCCTCAGCCTCAGCCTCTCTGTGCTGGGACTTCCTGTGTGAGCCACCACATCCGGCCGCTTCCACCCCTCTGTGGGAGTCCGGGGACAGCCAGAAGAGTGGTTAGAGGTGGCCGGCTCTGCCTCCCCCACTAGGCCCAGAGAACCCCGTGCTGCTAGGAGTGAGGCGCCCTGCAACCCGCCCGGCTGCTCCTCCTGGAACCTTGAGCTGAGGCCCCGACTGGCCAGGGGCTCTCTGGGCCGCCCAGAGCTGAGACCCTGACGCTCCACCTGCCAGGTGGGAGCCAAGGCCCCACCCAGGTCACACCTGTAGCCCCCAGCCTCCCTGCTCCAGCCCCTGCAGGGGAAGATGCTGCCACGGAGGGCAGCGAGCTCTGCAGGGACCCAGCATGCGGCCGGGAACGGCCACACCACCTGCCCCATCTGAGCAGAGCCCAGGACAGGCCTAGCCTCCGGTGCTGGCCCACATCCTCCTCCAGGACAAACGCTGCCCAGCCCAGCCCAGCCCAGCCTCTCCAGCCTCACCCGCTGCCCACTGGGTGCCCACGGTGGGGGTGGGAAGCTGCACAGCTCCCGTGGACAGAGCCGCCTCACCCTCCTCCCAGGGCAGCGCCCACCCTCCAGAAAGTCTCCCTTTGGGGCCCCTCGTGCCCAGCCCTTCCTCTGTCATCAGCCAGCTCAGCTCAGGACCATGGCCCTACACACGTGGGCCCCCATTTCATCCAAGACCCCCCCACTGCGGAAGGTAAAAGGGCAGGGCACAGGGGTGGGCCTCGCAGAGCTGGCGCCCCGTGCTTCCCTCCAGCCCAGCCGCCCAAACCCTCCACAGCTGTCCCCTTCTCAGTCCCCACTCAGGTCCTGAGGCCCCCACTCTGTCACACCCAGGAATCCTGTCTTCTTGGCCCTGCCAGCACAGGGCCACCCCGCCCCTGGCCAAGAGAGAGCCGCTGCCCTCACTCATAGGGCAGTGCGAGGCTCTGCGCCCCATCCCTGGGCTGCCCCACCTACGGAGACCTTCACAGAGGCACTGCTCCTGCCGCCAGCCGGCCTGGCACCACCTCCCTCAACCCACCTCACAGGGCCTCCGGGCTCCATCCACAGAGGCCAGGGCATCGCTCCTGGCCACCACCACTGTCACTTCAGCGCCAGTTGGAGGAACCTGTTCTCCAGGTTTGGCCGCTGGCAGGGCAGCAGCCTCTCTGCCGCCGCACCCCATCGGCCAGCCAATCCTGTCCCCAGGCTCTCTCCAGCAGCTCAGCTTGGTGGGCGGGGCTCCTCCTCAGTCCTTGGGCCCAGAACTGCCAACCTGGGTGGGGGCTCCCCATACCGGTGCCAGGACCCACACCTGCCCACTGGGGACCCAGACCTACCACCCTGCTTTCCTCAGGTGGGAACAGGGCCAGCACCCAGGCACCTGGCGTCAAGCACACAGCCCTGCAGAGAACAAGGGGAGCCCTGCTCCCTCGGAGAGGGTGGCCAGGAGGGGCTCAGGGCATCACCTGGGCACCCCTCCCGGGGCAGGTGTGCACCCTGCAGTGCCACTGTCTGGGCGTGGGGCCCTGCAAAAATGGACAGCTGGCTCTTGCCTGCCTGCCTTCCCTCCTGATGCTGGGGTCCCAGGCAGCCTCTGTGCCCAGCCCCACAGCACTGCCTGCTGTGGCCAAGCCTGCGCCCGGCTCACTGACCACTCCCCAGGCTGTGGATGGTGCTGGCCTGGACCCAGCAGGGAACCCAGAGACAGAGCCTGCTCTCCTGGCTGGAGAAACTCCACTCGAACAATGATCAGAGCTGGGCCGGGCACCAGAGGCTGACAAAGCTACTGATATCACTGAGGCGAGAGCCTCAGAGGCTGCTCCCTGAAGGGTGGCCTGTGCTGCCGAGGCAGAATCCCCCAGCCTGGACCCACAGACCCAGCTGCATCTCCACGCAGCCCCAGGTCCATGTGCTGGGCCCTGGCACAGGACGCTCTGAGAAACAGCTAATTCCGACCACCGCCCCGTGCCACAGACCAGCAAACTGAGGCCTGGGGAGTCAGAGAGGCGGTGTGACACTGCTGGAGAATGGCCAGGCCAGAGGCAGCCGGGGCAGCATCGCTAAGATTGCCGGGGGGAACAAGCGGTTAAGGATGGGGGCTGCCGATGGCACACTGGGGCGGAGGCAGAGGTCAGAGCCCGGGGGGCACCCTTGTTCCGGGCTGTGGCTGCTCTCCCCTAAGGCCCCACAAACCCTCGGCCTCCTGCAGGCGCCCGCGGAGCAGTGACTCCGTGTAGGGAGGCCCGTGGCTCTGGCGCAGAACAGGGACCCTCCTCCGGCAAGAGCCCTGGTCCCCACCGCGTCTCAGAGCCCGGAAGGCTGCTGCAGAAAGGGGGCATGAGGGGTGATCCGGGGACGAGCCAGCCTCCCCACCAGTGCCTGAGACGCAGGAGCCCCTGCTCCCCCAGGGTCCCCAGGGCGAGTTCTGCAGCGGCCAGTGAGGCGCAGATGGGCTGACGGCGCCCCCTGCCGGCCGTGCTGGGCTCCGCCCGCCGGATGGGCCCTCCAGACTGCGCGGCAGCAGGGCCACGAGGGCCAGGGCCGGGGCCGGGCCCCATGCCCCGCCCCAGGGGAAAGCGATGAGTGGATTCTGGGTTCCTGTCTGGCTCCCTGGAGGCTGGCGTCGCAGGTGGGACCAGAACAGGGATCGTTCCGGAACCGACGAAACCCACGCTCCCCAGCGTACCGCACAGCCTCCACGCAGGAGCTGCTGCAGGAGTCCAGGACCGGCGCCGGGGGCGGCCTGCCCGCCGTGGTGCCACTCTGCCGGCAGCTGAGCCCTGGATGACACTTAAGCTGGGGTCGCAGCCTGTCCCAGAGTCCAGAGGCCACTGCCAGCCTTCCTCCTGTGGCCGCTCAGGACCCGAACTCCAGGCTCAGCAGGTGCTGCCGGCCACCAGAGGCCACGCCCACCCACCAGGCCCACCGCTCAGAACCCGCCCCTTATGCCATCCCGCCCACTTCCCGCCCTTCTCCCCCGTCACCCTCCCCCGCCCGCCGTCCGTCTGTCAGTCTGTCTGCTATGCCAGGTGAGCGAGAAAATCACCAAACACTGGGACAAAGACAAAGTTAAAACTGAAAGGAGTTTATTCACGCGCGCACGTGGACTCCACTCTCTAAAGGAGTGAAGCCCCGAAGCAGGGAACAGCACAGCTTTTATAGGTAGCTCAAACAAAGAAGTTCAGGGAGAGGTCAACATGTTTTTCATCCAGCTGCAAAATATTTTTCACAGCCCAGCTATCTTGTCAAGATAGGACACTCTGTGGTTACAGGGTTTGGTGGTTACAGGGAGGCACCAGGCACCATCTGTTCCCGATAAAGCAAGTATGTTTACAGAAGCAGAGCGAGCAATTAGAAAAACGGCTATCTTGTGGGGCATTTCAGCACTCTGTAAGGGAAGGGGTATGAGGGAGTTCACTCACAGGCCACGATGGCGTTTCTTAGGTTCACTTTGGTCTCACACTGTCCCCGGGAGCAGAGTTGCCGCAGGTTCCGGGGTTTCGGGCGGGCACCGGCGGCCATCGCGTCACCGTCGTGCCCAGAGCGCCTCCGGCCCCGCCCACCTACCTCCGGCCTCCTTCGGCCTCTGGCCCCGCCCCCGGCCCGCCGCGCACGCCTTGCCCGTCACGCTTCTCCCAGGCCCCGCCCCCTTGCGCGTGACGCGCGAGGCCTGCGCCGCACTCCGAGCCACGTCGCGCGTCATTACCGCGCAGCCGCACCGGTGGGCTCCGGACGCGGACGGTGCGGTCATGGCTTGGTCCGCCGGCCCTCCGGAGGTGATCCGCGCGGCGCAGAAGGACGAGTACTACCGCGGCGGGCTGCGGAGCGCGGCGGGCGGTGCCCTGCACAGCCTGGCAGGTGGGCGCCCCGGAAGCGGGCGGCGCTTCCACACCAGCGACCCGGCGCGGGCAGGCCCAGTCCGTCTCCCCCGGACTGGAGCGAGACGCCGGCGCCGCCACGCCGTGGCCCTGCGTCGAGCTTGGGCGTCTGGAGGCCGCGGGCGCTAGGCTGTAGGCAGTTGGGAGAGTGACGGTCAGAGCAGATGTCTGCGTGCTGTATTTCGCAGACACTTCGCACCTACTCTGCCAGGCACTGTTCTCGGGCTGTCCAAGCATACCTTCGTGTGATCCCTTAAAGGCTCCGCTGTGGGACGTCCCGTAATCCCTTTTCTTACAGGTGTGCAAGTGGAGAGTCCAGAGAGATCCCACAGCCAGGGGATTGTATGGCAGATTTGATGCTGGACAGGTGGTCTCCAGCCTGCCCTGTTTTTCCCGTGGCCTGTAGGCTCCAGAGCAGTTGCTGGGAGGCAGAGTGGGGGTCCTCGGGAGTCGGCCAGTGGCGTAGGCAGGTAGAAAGGGAGGCAGGGCAGAGCCTGCTGAGTGGACTGCAAGGGAGCCTGGGAGACAAGTGGTTGACGGCTGTCAGCACCTCGTGGAAGGGGGCCTTAGACTTGCGCGAAGAGGGCTGGCTGCCCATCACCTTTAGGCGGCCCCCACCCCTTCCTAGGAGTAACATGTGTTTCTCCTCCCAGGTGCCAAGAAATGGCTGGAGTGGAGGAAAGAGATTGAATTGCTCTCAGACGTAGCCTACTTTGGCCTCACCACGCTGGCAGGTAGTCCCTGGCAGACCCATCCAAGTCAGAGGGCGGGGCAGGAGCTGGGGCTGCCAGGCAGAGGGAGGAGCTCCTGGAACCAGTGCCCATGGCCTCAGGGAAGGACGGGATGGGGCGAGAGGAGTAGCTGCCGAAGACACTGCCCAGAGCATTTTCCAGCCCAGGGCCTGTCCTTTCATCCTTTTTTTGTGTCCCTGGAGACCTAGGGACTTCTTTAAAACCCATTTCTCTCGACCGCTCTTGGTGGCACAGGCATGTCACAGTGCTCACCCATTCGAGGGGTGATAGCAGTGACACCCTGCTGGGACAGTGAGGGGCCAACGTTGATGGTTGTTCCTTAGGATAGAGCTAACAGGGAGGGCCTCAGGATTGCGATTCTGGCCCAGCGCCCCGCAGGGATCTCTGAACACCCGCTCAGTTCACCCAGTCCTGTAGAAGGGGTCCCTGGAGGGGTCACCACACTGTGGAGCACTGGCTGGTGGAAAGCAGAGGATAAGCACTGGGTGCCTGTGTTGTGCTGCATCCTGGGAGGTACTGAGCACTTTCGGGACGAAGGCCAGGTCTGGGGGAGCACTTTCCAGACAGGCAGAGGAGCTGAAGCAGCTGGAGCTAAACCTCTGAGAGGGAGGCCCCCTCAGTAGGCTGGGAGCACCCGAGGGATTTGTGGGCCTGGTCAGCCTTTGGTTTTCCTTGTAAGGCATCCAGTATCGTGAGGGCATGGGCAGGGGTGAGGCCAGAGGCCAGCTGTGACCAGACCACAGCGGCAGAGGTGGAGGCAGGCAAGGTGGCCATGGAGGACTGCGGCAGGTTGTGGTGAGGCACCTGGGGAAGTGTCAGGAGCAAGCAGGCAGCATCTCCTTCAGCCGGGACAGGAAGCAGGAAAGCTGGCTGTCTGGGATTAGGGTTAGGGCTGGAACCTCACTCTCCACAGGGCAAGTTTCCAAGTGTTTATCTAAATCCCCAGGGCGATACCTGGTAGGCAGCTGAGCTGGAAGCCTGCTCTTGGGAACAGACCTGTTCCGCCTAGGCCATAAATTGTGGTTGCACCAGTGCGTGTAGAAGTGGGGAGCCATGAGCCTGATCCAATGGCCTGAGCAGGGGCTAGGGAGAGGAGGGACAGGAAAAGGGAAAGAGAAGCACAGAGTGAAGAGTGGGAACGAGGGTGGGGAGGGAAGCACAGGCCGGATCATGGGAACTGGGAGCAGCTGGAGTGGCAGCTGTGTGACCCTGGCTGAGGTCACAGCAAGCCCATGGGCATGTTGGCCTGGGCCAGAGTGACACATGGAACTAGTGCTTGGTACAGAAGCCGAGGGAGGCACGCTGGCCCTGGGAGTCAGGCCCTCACCCAAGTACACCATCCTCACCCTCCTAGGCTACCAGACACTCGGGGAGGAGTACGTGGGCATCGTCCAGGTAGACCCTTCCCAGCAGCGCGTGCCCTCCAGGCTCCGCCGCAGCGTGCTGGTCACACTCCATGCAGTCCTGCCCTACCTGCTGGACAAGGCCCTGCTGCCACTGGAGCAAGAGCTGCAGGCCGACAGCGATGGAGCCCGGGCCTTGCAGAGCAGCCTGGTGCCCAGCAGACGGGGCTGGTCGGGGACACGGCGCTGGGTGCGTCGCCACACGGCCTCCCTGACCGAGCAGCAGAGGAAGACACTGCAGCGGGCGACCTTCGTCCTCAGGCAGGGCCTTGCCTGCCTCCATCGGCTCCACGTTGCCTGGTTTTACATCCATGGTGTTTTCTATCACCTGGCTAAGAGGCTTTCGGGGGTCACTTACGTAAGTAGCTGTGTCAAGGGGCTGCTGCCTGATCTGCATGCCTCTCTGCACCTTGGCTCCTCAGGGCCATGCTGCAGCATAATCACAACCAAGTGTTCTGTTTTGGGGCTGGAAGCAAAACCCACTACCTGGAAAACACCAGGTCTAGCCCAGTTCATTTTTCCAAAGACCCAGGTCAGGCAGAGCTCGTCAGTGCCAAGGGCGGACCAAGTCCTCTCCTGCTGCCAGCATGTGTGGGGCGGCCAGGGCCACTGACCATGGGGCCTTGGGCCTTGGTCTACAAGCAGATGGCCCCAGGGTGGCCAAGTTGAACATGCACTCCAGCTGGCTCCTGGCCCCTTTGTCCCCCCACCACCATCTGGCAGCCCCACTGAGAAGCAGGCTCTCGGGCCAGGGATACTTCCAACAGGGACCCACGGTGACTGTGGCCTCCTTGCCACTTGCTAGCATCCCTCCTGGACCTCCCTGTTCATGCTGGCCAGGCCACCTTCCTCCTCAGACAGTGTCCACCACTTCCCATCTGATTCCTTGCTTCCCAGAGTCTGGTCCCCCCACCTGCCTTTCTGTGTGGCTTCTTTCAGAAGGGCCTGCCCCTTCCCCAGCAAGCAGGCCACCCCCATCACGGAGCCACGTCAGGTGTCAGTCCTGGGTGTGCCCAGACTTTTGGGGTACCTGATGCCAAGCAGTTCTTCGTCAGGGGTCACTGTCACCCTCACAGGAGTTGGGGTGGGCACAGAGTCCTCTCCAGGGGCCAGTGGGACGGGACATGGGAAGTAGGGGACAAGAGTTGGCAATCTCCCCAGTGATGTGGCCAGAAGTTACTCGGACTGTCAGCCGTGGGAGACTTGGACAGTGTCCTGGGAGGGGCCGTGCGCCTGCTAAGAGGGGAGCATCCTGTCCTACAGCTGGGCAGCTGGTGAGCAGCACCTCCCCACACACCAGTGCTCCTCCCACTGCTGTGCGAGGTTCTCTCTGAGGTGGGCCCTACAGCCTCACCTACTACCCTGGCCCACCCGGGCTCGCAGCTCAGGCCTGTGCCAAGGATACCCGTCCTCCACCTAGTCTTGTCCTTCGGACGTTCCCGGTACTGACGGGAGGGGAGGCCAGGTCAACTCAGGATCCTGACAGCTGCTGGGCCACCTGCTTCCACAGCTCCGCATCTGCCATCTGCCCAGAGAGGACCTGAAGGCGCGTGCTGGCTACCGGCTGCTCGGGCTGCTCTCCCTGCTGCACCTGGCGCTCTCTGTGGCACTGCAGCTGTACACCTTCCAGCAGAGGCAGCGAGCCCGCAAGGAGTGGCGGCTGCACCGCATCCTGTCTCACCACAGGTGCACAGGGTCTGGGGCACCCTCCACACTGGTCAGCATGGTGGGCGGTGCCCTCACCTGTGTCCCCACCCTCCCTTCCGCAGGACCTCCCTGGAAGACCGAGCTGCGCCCAGAGCCCCACTCTGCACCCTGTGCCTGGAGGACCGCAGGCACTCGACGGCCACGCCCTGCGGCCACCTCTTCTGCTGGGAGTGCATCACCGAGTGGTGCAACACCAAGGTGCGTGGCCCGGGTAGGAACCCCGAACCCCATTCCTGTGTCCAGGGAAGTCAGGCATTCCAGCATGAGTCCCCACACTTGGCAGCCCCGATGCATGTGCACACATGGCACCAGACCCTCTTCCCAGCAGGACAGGTGGCAGGGGGTGTGCCCAGGGGAGATGCCTGGCCAGGAGCCGGGGCTGCAGCTGACCTGGTCACAGGCACCACAAGACAATGTTGGCCCTTCCAAAAGCCCTCCTGATAGACGCGGCAGGGCCCAGGGCGGCATGAGTGGAGAGCATGTGCTCCTTCATGAGCACAGAGAAGTCTTGTGCCCAGCAGGCAGCACAGAGTCCATCCGGGAGGGGGACCTGGTAGAAGGCTCCGGGAGGAGCTCTCAGCAGCTCTGGCCGGATTCACATCCCACCGACGAGGCCCAGGGTGCCTCAGTTGCTCACAGGCTTGCTGGGCAGACAGGGCAGGGCCCAGGTGCCAGAAGCCTTATAGGGAGGCCCCATGCCTGAGGCTGCCAGGCATTGAGGGTGGAGCTGGGGCCCCTGGATGCTGGCACAGCTGTCCCAAGCCAGCCCTGCCACATGCCCAGCACCTGAGCCTCTTCGCCTCTGATGCCCTGGCAAAGGCCGCCTCCCAGTCCAGAGTGGTGGGAAACAGCCCCAAGTGCTGTGAGGCACAGGTGGAGGGTGATGGGCAGGGGCAGGTGGGAGCACAGGGCCGGCCGGCGGGCCACGCATGAGCATCCCTCTCTCCACAGACGGAGTGCCCCCTGTGCAGGGAGAAGTTCCCTCCCCAGAAGCTGGTCTACCTGCGGCACTACCGCTGAGCCACGCTAGGTGGGCTTCAGGGAGTACATGGAGAAAGCAGTTTGTCCTCAGGATTAGCCAGTTGCACAGAAATTGTAATACCCTCACCCAGGCTGCTGGGCCAGATTCCTGGGCAGAGGACAGAAAGATGAAGCTAGCAGGGCCCTGTCCCATAGCCTTCAGAACCTAGTTGGGACAGGGCCTGAGATCCCAGTGGGCGTGGCATGCTGCTCAGGACACCCCTTCCCCGAGCCAAGTTGCAGAAGTTAGCCAGAAAGAGCTTTATTCACTGCAGACCAGACACACACACCACACTGGGCGGAGCATGGCAGAGCCAGTGCCCGGCCGGACAGGCACCTCCAGGTGCCCACGCACCAGCCAGGGTCAGCACCTCTTAAGATGTTTGGCACACTTGCAATATGTGTTCTGATTCCTGCTTTAAGAAAGGGGGAGTTGTCTTGGCCCTAACACAAACTGGAAGGGGCTTCCTTCCGCTGGGCAGGCAGAGCCGCCTCAGGTGAGAAGCTGTTTCCAACACCTAACTGCAGGCACCTTGGGATGGGCAGGTGAGCCAGGGCCTCTCCTGGGGGCACGTGGGCGGGCAGCCTGCTTGCCCAAGGTCGCTGCTGTGGCCGGCACCTCCTCAGCTGTCTTCAGCCTGCTTCCCGCCTTGCTCAGTATTTCCAGGTTTTAAAAATTAACATGCTGGAGACAGCTTGGCCTCAGTCCACAGAAGACTGACCCACCCAGGAGGGTTGCATAAGATGCAGACCTCTGGGGTGTCACACTCCCCCATTGGAGGACCTCGGAGTTCGGGCTAGCAGGGCCACGCCCATGGGTGGCCCAGGCCTCCCAGTCCCCACAGGAAGGAGGTCCTGCAGAGCTGGACACAGCTCCACAAGCTGTCTCTTGCTACCCCTTGAGTCACACCATTGCCTGTCAAAGCTGAGGCCTCAGTGCCAACCAGGGAAACAGAAGCAAGGAGGTCCAGAGTTTGAGAATCCCAGACACTTGGACATCTAACAGGAGTACTGAGAACATCATGTGAAATGGTGGAGCAGGTATACAATCGGCGTGAACATGGCCTCTCAAAGGAGCTCAAGTCCTGATGTACACAATTCAGCAGAAGAAAATACAGACAACTGACACTGAGCGTCGAAAACTACCTGGGCATCTGAACCGGCGGGGGCTGCAGGGGACACCAGGCTGCACCTTGGTGCCCACACCTGTGGTGGGCGCTGTCGTGCCGCCAGAATGGTTCACCTGCAAGGGAGGCCAAAGACGCTGGGCTTGGGGTCAGTGGCTCGTGTTTAAGATGAAGACTACACAAGGAAGGGGACATTGTCTTTAATAAAGTTGGAATTAAAAAGTCGATTAGTAAAATGTTTATCACATCAAAAAGCTGACATGCAGTAGGTTCTGTCTCCCCCCCAGAGAAAATGAAAAGCCAGATAAACCCGCAGGCCTGGTCTGCATTGACCAGGTCTGGTCTTTCTTTAACAGGGGCTGCTGCATGAGAACAAATTTAAATTAATCAAAAACAAACTTTAGAAATGTGTCAAAATAATCTCAAACAATTAAAATAGAACATATATATTTATAATTTCAGGCCCTCAGAAGCAGGGTAGTTAAGAACAGTTCCAAGTCGTCATGGTAGAGGCCAACATGAGACATCTCCAGCGAGATCCAGTTTGGAAACTGGCATGAGAACCTCGGGCCATGTGGTCCACCTTTTCAGCCTCACGCCTCTCCCACACTGGCCGGGCTGGCTCCATCCTTCAGCCCGCAGGAGGGACCTCGGGTGGCAGGAAGGCGGCCTGGCTCCTGCCCTCCCTCCCGCCATCACCCTGCAGACCACCTCCCCCCAGCCCCCCAGCCCGCAGTTTGCTACGATTCCGTACATTGGGAAACATGTGGACATCACTGAAGAGGAAATCAATGCAATTTGGTTTAAATGCCAGTTTCTTCAAGAACCTGATATTTCAGTTACAAATCATTGAGGCTTCTTTTTAAAAAGAAAATTCGACTCCCTTGTAATCAACTGCTTTATGTGAAGAAAAAGGCATTGTTACAATGGCTCAAAACCGGTCTTGAATACGTGAGATTCAGTCCAGCTTCTAACTAGCAAACGTCTTGCCCACGTCCTCCTTCCCTTTGTATCTCCTCTTCCCGTGTGTGAATGGTATGTACCGGTATTTAATCATGTGCTAGGGAAACAAACGAAGTCCAGTTACTTCTAAATGGATGGTGATCCACCCCAGTTTTCCTAAATGTGAACACCCAAAGGCACTGGCTCCATTTCTTCCACGTATCGCACAGTCAACATCAGGATGCCAGTGGGTTTGAGCTGGGCAACATGGTGCAAGCCTGTAATCTCAGTACTCAGGAGGCTGAGGCAGGAGGATAACTGAGTTCGGGGCCAGCCTGGGCTACATAGTGAGACCGTCTCAAAACAGAAAAAAGATGCCCATGCTGACATGCTTCCTAGCTCCCTACTAATACAGCAGCCCTCTGATCTGCTGGGCCCTGGGATCCACTCCAGAAACACTGTGCAGGAATGGCCGGGAGGGGCTGTGGCTGGGCCCCCAAGGCAGGTGTGCAGCTGCGCTCCACAGTCCTGGCCAAGGCAAGGTCTCAGTGGAACGGACCCTGAGCTCAACCAGGAAGAGCACCAAGGCGCTTTGGCCCAGGGCATCCCCGCCAACTCCCACCAGCTGCCCGAGCCTAGGGGCTCCCCAAGTGGAAATGCACCGTGCTCCACCAGCCCTGGCAGGAGACAGCGCCTAGTCCTCACCACACACAAGGCCCTGCTCCCTACCAGCTGTCCCCAGCAGGGCAGTAACTGTCGCCCCAACCACGAAGCAGTGCTGTCTTTACCTTTATTTGCCTCTTCATTGTGATACAGAAAAGCATGATGAAGTACATCACCAGGATCGGCCAGAACACCGGGACGTTGAAAGCCTCAAAGAAGGTGCAGACCATAGCCACGAGGATGCCCTTTGTAGCTGCATGCCTTAAAGCGGGGGAGAAGTTAGTGCCATCGCCTGTGGCTGGCACTAGGCTCCTAGCGACCACCTCCGGCCACCACAAAAAAAACATCTGCAGGAGCTGCACCTGACTGGAACAGCATGGGGTCTACGCGTGTTCTTCACCCGAGCTCTGGTTAACCACAACGCTGCGGTTCCCTGAGCCCCGTGAAAGCTACGTTCTCTCCAGCCCACAAAGAACAGACGCCCATGCTGAAGCCCAGCGTGCCTGGACCAAAGCCCGGACCCCTGGCCTCACACTGGCTTCAGAGGAGAAAGCAGAGCCTTCCAGCCAGGCCCCACCCCACCACCGCCACCCTCCAGCCAGGCTCCCACCTCCACCTGGACCCCCAGCTCTGCTCTCCACAGAACGCACCCACCACTCCGGCACCCCCTACTCTCTCCCGCAGGCACCAGTGTTACAGCCTGAAGGCTTCAAGAACCCAGTCTGCTCAGTTCATGAACTCCGCCAAGACTGCCCCTCCCATGTCCCAGAGACAGACAAGACGGCATGGTATGGAGCCCCTGGCCCTGACTGGGCTCTGAGGAGCTGTCCCTGTTCTCACCCTGTGTCCTCCTGGTCTGCAGGAGGCCCGGAGCCCCCAAGGTTGGGCCCTGCACAGACCCCTGACACCTTTGCTCAGGGCCTCTCCACAAGGGCCTGGCCAGAAAGCTGGTCTACCTCTGCCGCCCATGGAGGCTGCCTACACCTACCTTCCTGAGGCTTGCAAGAGGTTGAAACCCTCCTGCCCAAACCCCAGCATGTGCTCTCCTGAAGCTCAGAGTCTCTCTGAGCCCGCAGTCTGCCCCAGCCCCAGCCCAGTGTCCTCTGGGTGAATGGATGTCACAGGAAAACAAAGCAAACAAAACTCTGTCTTCTTTAACAAGTCTAGATTGCTCACTGACTAGAACAAAAATTCAGTCTGTTCTCCGGTCTCCACACCTGACTGAGAACAGGTACCTTCTGCAAGTGCCTTTAAAAAGTTCAGGCATGGCCACACAGGAGGAATGACTTCTGATGTCCCGTAGCACAGGAGGGTAACTGTGCCGGCAACAGTCACCATGCATATTGAGATTGCTGACAGAGAGGACCTGCACGTCCCCAGCACAAAGGAATGGTGTGCAGTGACAGACGTGCCACTTGCCTGACCTGCTCATGACACACTATTCACATGTACTGGAAGCCACACTGTGCCCCATAAACATGCACAATTACTAAGTGTCAGATAAAGATTGAAAACTTTTTTAGAAGTTTAATAAAAAAAAATTAGCTCAAAAAGAAAAAGAATTAGCTCACCAAAATTTAAACTCTGGAAGCCTTCGAATGAAAGGGCGAAACTCCTCGTTCTGTTTGGTTGGTAACGAAGGGCCGTCGTCTGCAAGGCAAGGTACCAATCAGAGAAACAGCGCTCACTCTTACCTCCACTCTACCACGGTCGTCAGTGTCCTGGAGCTTCTGAGGACGGGCCTGTGTCCCTCACCGCACATAAACGGGTCTGCGGCCAGTCTGCAAATCAGCTCAGTGCTTTACAAGATTTTCTAAGTCTTGTACCTTTTAAATGTGTAAAAAGAATTTAGCTGCACAGATCTCTCATCCACTGTGCCCCACAGGCTCAAAAGAAAGCCAGATGCATGATTACGTTCCCACAGGGCAGTGCTGGGTCCCCGCCCACAGCACGAGCTGGAAGCTCAGCTCACCTGGCCACGCCCAGCTACAGACGGAGAAACTGAGGCCAACAGAAAGAGTCCCTTGGTTATTTTCCAGTCTCCCTCAGAGAGCGACCTTCCATGGAAGAGGCCTTTCCTTTGCTGTTTTCACTAACTGGTCTACAGAGAAAATCACGGGTTTGTGCTCATCCATGTGAAAACTGTTTAGAAACAGCACCACCCATAACAGAGGGCTCAGCAGCAGGGGCGGGGCCGGGCGGGGCCGGGCCGGGCCGGGCCGGGCCGGGCCACTCCACTCCTCACTTGCATCTCGGCTGGCCCAGATGGGGCCCACAGCACACAAACACCAACAACATCTCAACTCCCAAGAACTCGGAGCCTGTGCTGGCCATGGTGGGCAGTGTGTGCAAACCTCTGGTTGTGGGACAGCAAGTCTGGTGGGTGACTCTGGAGTGCCACCAGGACAGGCTGTCTGCCTGCGACACAAAAGATGCAGGCTTGGGCACAGATCTCTGCCATTCATCCCATCATCTGTGGTGGGACCGTGGATAGGCATAGAGCCCCACATGCCTCAGTTTCTTCATCTACACACAGGATGAACAGCCCTGGAGGTGCCATGAGGGTTGAATGGCGGTACCTGAGTCTTCCATCAGGGAGGGGTCCACTTTGGGAGAGAGGAACGCTATGAAGAGGTTGAGGTGGTAGATCCCCAGGGCGTAGGTCACGATGTACCAGCCCTGGAAGAGAAGAGGCACAGCATGGTGAGCACCAGCCTGAGGTTGTCCAGGCCACACCAGGCAGGGACGCACGGGTGAGCCAAAGAGCACACAGCTCACTCTTGGTGGGGAGGCTGTGACTTCCACAAGCACAGACACAGGCAAACCCACAGTGACCGCTCACTCTGTGCGTCTTGGTACCACAGTGACAGCTCACAGCACAGCAGCAAACTCCTCTGAGTTCAGTTGGGCAAACGCCCAGGCTCCTGGCCAGCAGGCAGTGGAGCCAGCTGCTCTCCAAACCACAAGCAAACCTGCACCTCGGGGCTGGGTGCAGTATACCTGGGGGCACTGTCCCTCGGCGCCCCCAGCCTACTAGGGGCCAGCACTCCCCATAAAATCAAAGCAGAATCGAGGCTGTTACTATAGACTCAGTGGCTGGGTGTCTTCAGGGACAACTCCCACCGCCAGGCCAGCGTGGAGTGTTGCTCACTGCCCAGGAGAATGCAGGGCCCAGTGTCCCCTGCACCCTGCAAGTGCACTGTCACTCTTCAAGTCTGTGCTTGCTCATACAAACGAGATTCTTCCTGCCTAAAAAGTTTTCAAGCCAGGCCACTAAAACCTGATGTGAAACATTAACTAACACACACGTGTCTTCAAGCTGTAGGGCAAGCCTGGCTCAGGAGAGTGAAACTGCACGTCACACCCGCCCCGCCACACCCCTGACTTGAAGTTGCTCAGCCAGTCTTCCCATTAGCAAACGGACCAAGTTCCAACTTACAAAACGAAATCAACATTAATCTCAGACACCTTGTACAGATTGTGTCCGTGCCACAATAAGCTGCCAAGCAGCCATCACCTGCACGCTGAACCAGTGCTGGGTCTGCAGGCAGGAATAAGCCAGACACAAGCATGAAACAAGCCTCTGTGTTTAGTCTGAGTTCCACATACACTGGCTCAACTGTCCAGTCAATAAACCTGTCACTCCATGGACCGATGGCCTCCTACATCTTGGAAAACACCAGGAAGCCAAACAGGAGCTTTATTTTTTTATTTTTATTTATTTTTTGTACCGGGGATCGAACTCGGGTCCTTGCATTTGCACAGCAGGCGGCGAAACCACTGAGCTAAATCCCCAGCCCTAAACAGGAGCTTTAAACGAGAATGTACCTTCCACGGCCCCGGGGGAGCAAATACTCCAGGCAAGACTTCTTGCCTACCCCCCACCCTGGACCTGCAGGGTGCCCCCAGACCCCAGGTGCTCCCTAGGAAATGACACGTCCCAAGCAACAGCCTGAGCAGGTGTTGCCTGTCCTAGTGGTGTCACAAGCAGGGCCTAGAGACCTCATAAGCGCCCAGTGACCATGCTGGCACTGCGCACGCTTCTCTGCCTCAGCAGATGCAGCCCACACCACTGAACCCGTAAACGCCAGTGTCACGCATGGAGCCCCAAGGTCACTGACTCATGTCATCTGGGATGGGGCCTCTGCCCCGGGAGGCACACAGAGGGCTCAGAGGGCCAGAGGCCTGTAACCAGGTCAGGGCACAGGCTTAGGTCAAGACTGGCCTGGGCTCGCTGGAAACCCTTGTCAGAGAAGATGACAATCTCAGGAAGAATCGCAAACAAGCCTCTTTGAAGAGACACTCGCTGTGGGCCAGGGATTTAGTTCAGTGGTTCTGCCACCTCCCCTGCAAGTCCAAAGACCCAAGTTCGATCCCCGGTACTAAAAAAAAAAAAAAACACTCACTGAAATTTTTCTTACACTTGGCAACCTGAAAAGTGTTTATTATACATCATTTTCTTCAAAATAAATCGCACCAGCAACATCCCAACCAGCACTGCACTCAGAGCCTGAGGCACGGAGCTCATTTCAGCCCAGACCTACCTGCAACAGGTAAACTCTAATCATGTAGATGAAGCTCAGGCCCAGTGTCACGACCCACCGCACAGCTGTGTAAGGTGTGGACTTGTCCAGCCAGGACTGATAAATCTAAAGAGAAAAGGAGTTGGAAATGTGAAGTCACTCAGGAACTCCCACTGCATAGCTTTGATACAAAATACACTTTTGCTATGGTTTCTGATTTTAAAAAGAGCTGATTAGAACAGCAAGAGGTTACATATATTGGCAAAAAACAATGGCTCCAACTAATCCAGAATGTATTTGCAATGCTTCCTGAGCCAGGTTCATCTCTTCAGCAAAAGTGCTGCAAACTATCAATGAGAGAAGACGGTATTTCAGAGCTGCAAACAGCCTGCTGTGGCACATATGCCATGGGTTCGCACCACTGGTCTTAGGGATTCAAAAGTAGAGGCCTGAGTCTCCAGGTCACCATGGCAATGATGTTCTCCAGCCAAACCTGTGCCCCCACCGGCGCCCAACCCTCTGCTCCCCGCAAGCCCAGTACAGGTCCCGTCCCATGCGCACAGGACCCAGCAGCCAGGGCCTGCACACGGCATGTGCCACAGACTCACTGAGGGAGTCCTTAGCATTTTAATACACACACATTTATACCTATGCATGTGCACGTTTTACATTTTGATTGTGAACCTTAATCTTTAAATTTCATGATGAAAATTTTCAGTTATAAAATACATGAGAATAGATATACTCAATACTCAGCTTCAATATTGTTATAGCTTGCCATATGCTACTTTTCAATTTAAAAATCTGATAAATTTTTCGCCTGTAATCCCAACACTCAGGAAGATGAGGCAGGAGAATCACCAGTCCAAGGCTAGCCTGGGCTACACAGTAAGACCCTGTCTTAAAAAAAAAAAAAAAATTCCAGGTGCCACATGCCCTATAACTGTAGCACTTGGGAGGCTGAGGCAAAAGGATTGCAAGTTTAAATACCACATGGGGCAATTAGTGAGACCCTGTTTCAAAATAAAAAATAAGGGCTGAGGGTGTCATTCAGTGTGAACGTTCTGGGTTTGATCCCCAGGACCACAAAGAGCAAAATAAAAATATAAATAAGTCAATAAACTAAGCCAGAACATCAGTGCCTGCAGCTGCTTGCTGAGTGAGTCTAAGCACACGGTGTCCAGCTCCAGACACCGCCCAGGCGCAGTGGTCTGCATCTCCCTGGCCAGGGCCACAGCCTCTCCCCTCAGTGTGTGCTCACCCTGTGCAGGAGCCCAAGAGGGAAGGGAGGGTGGACTGGAGACAGGGCAGGAGGGACACAGCTGCCTGTCTGCACCGCCACTGCTAAGGAGGAGTTTTACACTTTTAAAGGCTAAAAACACACATGTGGCCAAGAACATGTGTGACCTTAGAGCAAGACTCTTCTCTGCGTGGCCTCTGTGGAGAACACGGTGCAGGCTTCTCAGGAACGACCTCCTTCCAAGAGCACAGATGGCAGCGCAGGAGACCCAAGCCCATCAGGAAGGTGTGTTGGGAGCTGACAACTGCTTCTCTAAATAGTTACACTAATCGCCCACAAACCCACCAACCTGTCCCAGGCGTGTGAAAAATCTGTACACCACTGATGGCTTCCCATGGACAGAATCTCCAACGCTGTCCCCTTCAGACATTCTGCAACTGAGAGAAACACAAGACGCCTTCAAATCAAATAGCAACCATTCAGGATGTGAACTTTCCCCCCTTTATCGACCAGTCTATCAAGCCAGTTTCTGCAATGCTCAGTATTTTACTCAGACTGTCTGTGTTTTTACCATGAATTAACCACATAGGGAACAGACTTCAGTGGAGGGGAAGGAGGGAGCAAGGTGACGCCAGGCAGCACCGGGTGGACTTTTGCTTCCACTTCAAGCACCGTGGTTACCCATGCAGGGCAGCACCATCCACCTCGCACCAGCAGGAGCTCCGCTCGCTGATACCCCCCTCCAGGTGCCTCTTCTGGGATGGGGATGCCAGCCCCCATCTTCCCCTTGCCCTGTCCTGGTCAGTCCTTGGTGACAGGAAGATGTCCAGGTAGCCCATCTAGCCGAGTCCCAGTTTCTTATCTTGACACTGGAGATAACCCTACCTGCTCCTATTTCAACACGCAGCTCTGGCCCCAGACGGAATTCACCTGTGAGGACCCAGATGCCAAAGGTCATGCATTGCCCCACTTGGTTCTGGGTGGCAAGAGAAGGAATATCATTATCCCTACTTCACAAGGGAGCCGGTCTCAACAGCGTGCGACTGAGGCGCAGAGCCAGGACCCAGGCTGACACCAGCTCCTCACCATGCATGAACTCGGGCCTCAGCTTTCCTCCAAAAGCACTGCAGAATGACAGGGACGTCTGCTGCCTGTCCTACTTTGAAGACACTTGTGGGCCCCTAAGCCAGGAGTGAGCGATGCCAAGGGCACCTGTCCAGACCTCCTCTGCTCCAGGATAGGTGGTGAAGAGGAGAGGCTCCAGAGTAGGTCTGGTTTAAGTCCACTGTTCTCAGTACGGTGAGGCCACAGAGCCAGGTGTCTCCCTCACCGAAACACGAGGCTCTCTTAGGCAGCAGACACGCAGGCCCAGGCTTCATTCCACAGCAGCCTGGAGGCTGGCCTCCCTCCTCCCACTTACAGATGCTAGAGGCTAGAGAGCCATTCCAGCAGGAGGCCTACCAACAGCAGGCAGGAACCAGCAGCCACACCTGCCGAGTCCAGCGCCTCCAGCACACCTCTCACCGAGCACTGGGAACCCCCCTCCCCCTAGGGGAAGTCAGCAGGCCACTGGACATGGCCTTGGGTCTCAGTCCCAACTTAAATGTCACCATCTCCCCAGCTCCACAGGCCACAACACAAGTCTGCAGCCAGACATGTGGACAGCTCCACAGCACATTCCCCAGGTCCCGAGCACGTGCCCAGACACACAACTAAGCCCGCACCAGGTCCTCCGCCCGCTTCAGGAGCTGCCTTCTACCCCTAACGGGGGGAATTCCACATTCAAATACAGGCCACACCAGAGTGCACTGCCGAGAACGGCCACCTTATTTAGGGTAAGCAGGTTCTGCAGGAAGCTACTCCAGTCATGTTCTTCATCATACAGTGCTTGCTTCTTCTTTTACTCTGCCCAAAATGTTTATCACTGAAGCACTTGTGCTTGAATCGAGGTGACAAAAGTAGTATCAAAAAGAAAATACCTGGCTGTCCCACTGAAGTATGTACTCTAAGCTGAGCTGTTAACGCTCTCCAGACTGCTGTGTGGAAAACCTCCAAAGACGCACTAGCCACCCTCTGCTTCCCTGACATCCACACTAGGACCCTGCTCTACATCTGAGTGAACTCAGCACCAGTGACACAAGAGACATTGCAGCATGATTAAGAAAATGAACTTTGGAGTCCAACCACCTGCTTTAGATACCGGTTCTGCAATTTCTATCGGTCTGAGCCGAGCTCACTCTGTAACAACGGCTGTGTAACAATGGGGTTCTGATGTAGGAAACAGGACAACTGCACCGGCAGTGCCTTCCTCAGAGTTCTTCTAAGAGCAAATGGCAGCCTGTGGTGATGATCCTGCAGAGCCTGGCACCAATAATACAGCAGCTAAGTTAGACAGAAATTAATATATAGTCACAGAGGGGGTAGGCCTGCAAGAAAGTCAACAATAACAAAAAACAGACATCAGAATTGTGGCTGGAGGCACATCTGAAGACCAAGTCTCAAGTTTAAAGATGCAAAGACCAGGCCTACATGCCTCCCCTAAGGGATAACAGTAACTTAAAATTATCCTATAACTGGTATCCTCTGGTCCAGGAAGTCCAGATAAGCATCAGTCAGCGAGGTGAGTGACCAGAGCATCCAGATCCATCCCTTTCTCAAAAATGCCTTTGTTCTTTTCCATGGACCCTCGCTACATGACCCGCTTCCTACTGGATCAATATTAGCTAAGCAGCTGTACTTGTAATCTTATTGGTTGAGTATAGTTTGACCCACGCTGTACTCACCACATACGTGTATGTGTGTACAGCGTGAATGCACTGGCCCCTTAGACATGTCATACTTATTCTGGATTAGGGCAGCCTTCTTACCAGCTGTTCTACCTCCAAACCTCCTCAGAAACCCTCCATTGCAGTCCAAACTGACACCAGTCTTATGTCACATCACTCTGTTTTTATTTTGTATAACAATTATTTTCTGATACTTTCTTGGTTTTCTTCTCAATTTCCGTCTATGGAATACAAGCTCCTTGAGGGAGGCCCTTGTCTGGCTCCCAGCTGGGCCTTGTCATTTCAAAGTGTGCGCTACTGGAGCAGGCAGCCAGTCAATCTGAAATCTGTTGAATGTAACTGCTTTATGTTCAATCACAAAGTAAACAAAGCAAGATAAAACTACTCTAGGCAGACACCATGAGTACCAGGCTGGAAACTATTAAAAAACCTGTGTCTCTTTAGAGAGCTCACTTGTTGCTTCTGTGATCCATCAGTCAGTCCTACACCAGAAATGCAGCACACACAGCACAGAGGAGGCCCTGTGCCAGTATCTGGGGCCAATGCTTCCTGGCCCAGGAACGGCCCGCATCTGTGCACCACACGAGTTTCCGGTGCTGTCCCCTCCAAAATGCCCAGCAGGTCCTACCTCGGCTCCTCCCGAGGCCAAGCTCCACCCTGGGTTCCTCCCTCTGATGGGTGTGAGTGTTGTAGATTCCACCTGGCCTTTGCACACTGTACCCATATTACAGTCACACCAACACACATCAGGATTTGATGAGCCAAGTCTCAATCGCTGAGGACCCTGTTTTCACTTATGGGGGCTTCCATCTTGTTTCGAGGTGAAACTCACCCCAACTAAGGACACAACGGTGCAGGACAACCCTAAGACATCCTGGCCAGGAAGCCAATAATAAAAAATGAGCCTAGAGAACTGATTTTACTGCCTTAATTTGGAATATTATCAGGGTATAATCTTAAGCCAAGTAACTACTCCCCTTCAGCTCACTCAGTGAAGTCTCAGTCTTCAGGCTTAATACTAAATCCTACAGATGAGCCCTAAAGGTATGATGGGCGGCAATAAGACGCCCCACACAGACGCACCCCAACTCCTGAGCCTGGCGGGCAGCCCCGGCCACCGTGCCCAGCGCCCGCCAGGTGGGGTGAGAAACCGCCTGCGGCAGGGCCACGGGTCTCCGGGGCCGGCCGTCCCCATCGCGGTCAGTACCGTCCCCTGCCAGGGCTCGGCTCCCATCGCCGCCCCTGTCCTGTGTCCGGCTCGCCCGGGCCCCACTACTGAGCCCGCGTCCCTTCCCGCGGTCCGCCGGCCGCAACGCAGTCCCGTGTCCCCTTCCGGGGCCCAGTTGTGCCCTCGTGGCCCTACTGACTCTCTCCACCTCTCCGGCCCCCCCACCCGGACTCCCAGTCCTGACGGACGCGCCCGCCGCGGCCTTGACAGCCGGAGGGAGGCGGGGGCGACACGGTCCGGCCGGCCCCGCCCCAATCCTGTCCCTGGCACCTCGCAGCTCCGCTGCAGCCGAGCCGTGGTCTCCCTCACGGCCGCAGAAGAGGGGCGGCGGGCAGGGCGGCCGCCGGCGCTCGGCTTGGGCTCCGGGAAGCTGCACGGGAACTTCCGCTGCGTCCAGCGGCACCGCCTCCGGCCTCCAAGATGGCCGTGGGGCGGGATCCAGAGCTCCAACCATTTCCGCTTCCGGCGAGGACGCCGCGGCCGTTGGCGGACCGTCCTCCCAGCGGAAGGGGCGGGCCGGCAGAAATGCCCCGCGCTACACAGGCGCAGTGGAGCCCGTGGGCTCCCGGCCTAGCGGCTCCGTTCCGGAGATTGCGGTTCTCCGAGACTGGCCTGACCACTCCCCCTAGCTACCTGAGGCCAAGGGCTGGGGACGTGGGTGGTTGCTAGGGAACGGCTGGCGGCAAGATGGCGGCGGCTGGCCGGGGGAGCCGGGGTTCGCTCCAGCGACGCAGGGAGTCGCCGAGGCCCCCGCCGAGGGACGGTACGGACTGCGCGCGTCGGAAGCCCTGCTCAGAGCCCACCGCCTGCCCCCCGGGCCGCGTCCGCGTGCTCCCTCGCTGGGGTGGGTGGTGAGGGGGCGGGTTCACAGCCGGCCCGCCCTGTGCGGGTGGGCGCAGGAAGTCCTCGGTCCCGCCCCACGTCTGTGCCCGGGGAATGGAGTCCTCGATCCAGTCGGGAAGAAACTGACCCTGAAACCTGAGAAATAAGGCCAGGATGGACCCCGAGTCCACGCCCTTGCCGTCAGGTCTCGCGGGGTCGTGCTCTCCCCTCTGCACCCTCACTGATAACCTGCTCCCACCGCCACCCCACACCAAATGGGTGTCACCATGTCTCAGAAGCCAGACAACGGAGGGGTTGGCAGCAAACAGAGCAGCTCCTAATCCCCATGCGGCCTGGGCAGTTAACAGAGTGGTGCACAGACCTGGAGAGAGCCCCAAGCCCACCTCCACTTAATGTCAGCCAAGTCGCAGGGTCCAGGGGTCACTGTTCATTTTCTTTTCAAATTCAGGTTATGGTGTCTACACGTACCCAAATTCCTTCTTCCAATATGAAGGAGAATGGAAAGGAGGAAAGAAACACGGTAAGAAACCTCGGTGGTCCCTCCCACAGCTGCCACCTGGAAGCTGACAGCTGATTTTCTCCGGGAGCTGCTGAGGGGGCTGCACTGAACATGCCCCGGCGCTGTGCTGGCACGGTGCTGCCAGCCTGCTCTGGACTTGGCCGGTGACACCATGAGGCTGGCAGGGCTGGGCAGGGGCAGCAGATCAGGACACTCCTACCCCTGTGTGGCACGTTCCGCCATCCTAGGGGCACCTGCAGAAGAGAAAGCTGCGGCTTGGAAATCCTCCCTAGAGTTCCAGTTTGCTTTTCTTTTTCAGAGTGGAAATTGGCTTTATGGTTTGTTTCTGATTAAAAGATGACCTACTTCTGTAGAAAATCCAATCGACAGAGGAAAGGAACTGTAAAGTAAAATCCTCTGGAATACCCTGAACTCACATTCGTGCACACTGGGCCTGGTCTCATACCACACAGCTGCAGGCCACCGTCCCAGCACCCCAAGACACACACCAGGCAAGCATGGAGAATGTTCTGGTGTCCAGACTTTCTCCTATCTGCACTTACAAGACTTTTTCTGTTTGTGGATTCTGCCTCCTCAGTGGCTTCTACCTATTTTCCCCTAGAAGGTTGGGCCTTTTTTTTTTTTTTTAACCTGTTGGCTGCTAGTATTTCCTGTGTTTTACCTTTTGGCTTTTATTCAGTGTTTTTGCCATCCAGATGTTTCTTATTTTTGTCCCGACATCAAGGAGTCTCTTCTTCCAGGCAGGTGTGTAGGCTCATGTGCAGGGCTGTTATCTGAGACTCCTTGATGGTCACCTGCTTTTTAGGCTATGTCCTCCCAGAGCCCTCCCCTGTGCTCATGTGGACAGAGTTGTGTCCACTTTCCTTTGAGAAGGTGGGGAACAAGGTCTCACCTGGACTGTCCCTGCCTCTGTAGCCATTCTAGCCAAAAAAGCAGGGCGCTTGGGAATATTCCTCAGCTGTTCTGAGGAGTCTAGATAAATGTGGAGTACACAGGTGAGTTTCTGAAGACCATGTATCAGACAAGCAGTGGAGCCAACATGAAAACTGCAGGTTTTGCAGCTAAAGTCTGAGAAAGCTCAGTGGGTGCAGGCTTGTCAGCCACCACTCCCAATCACCAACTGACTTCACTGCACACAGTGACTTCTTTTTCCAGGTCACGGGAAGTTGCTGTTTAAAGATGGGAGTTATTACGAAGGCGAATTTGTGGACGGAGAGATCATGGGGCGAGGCTGCCAACACTTGACCTGGTCAGGTCAGTGCTGGAGGTGATGGATGGGCTCATGACCCCTTTCTCACAGCCATCTTGGGGAGGCCGTTCCCCTGCTCTGACACCAGAAAGCGGTATATAAATGGAGGGGCCTCAGGTGTCCTTAACATGAGGGAACAGCAGCGTGCAGGCTGGGGTGCATGGCATGGTGCCCACAGCTTGGATGGCCTTTAGGCCTGGCAAGGGGCATCTTGGGGATCCCTAGTGGGGCCTCTAGACCTCTACAAGCACCTCCAGCTTCTCTATAACATTACATCAGAATAAAGCAATATCATCCCAAACTTGTATTTTCCTTATTCGTTAAAGATATTTCACCACACCCCGTGCCCAGATGGGAAACCTGCTCTGTGACCCCCACGACAGTGGCCGGGCACCTTCCAGAGCCTCGGACAGAGAGTAGTGGGTACTCATGGGAGCTTCTCTTGCATTTGGCTTCCAGTTGCCTTTTAAAAGTACAGGGAGTCTGAGCACAGTGACACCTACTGGTAATCCCGGCTCCCCGGGTAGCTAAGGAAGAAGTAGACAAGCTCCAGGCCAGCCTGGACAAGTTTGTGAGACCCTGTCTCAAAGAAAAAGAAAAGGGGCCGGGGATTTAGCTCAGTGGTTCCGCCGCTTGCCTTGCAAGTGCAAGGACCCAAGTTCGATCTCCGGTACCAAAAAAAAAAAAAGAAAGAAAGAAAAGGACTGGGGACATGGCTCAGTGGCAGAGCAGCCTGTCTGGTACGTGCAAGGCCCTGAGTTCCATCCCCAGTACCACATGCAAGGCCTGAGGACAAGGCCACCCCACACTGTGCCTCCCAGGTCCTCCCAGGAGGGGTCACCTCGGTCAGTCTGCAGTCCTCACTGGGCAGCGAGGACCAGGCCATGTGTTGGCGTTTCTCCTCCACTGACCACACTGTGAGTGAGGTGAAGAGACAGGTGTCCACCCATTGGTCAGCGGACAGAGGGGACACGACACAGCAGTGACCTCTTCCTTTTCATTTCCACTCAGGAAACACCTACTCTGGACAGTTTGTTTTGGGAGAGCCTCAGGGACACGGCGTCATGACGTATGGAGCTGGGGGCCGTTACGAAGGAGAGCTCTGCCGAGGCCTCAGGGAAGGTCTGGCATGCACAGGGCTTGTGGACGAGTGCTGGGGGGAGCCTGGTGTCCTCTCACATCTGAGAGCTGCTGCCCAGCTGTCAGACTTCAGAGGCTGGGAAAGGAGGTGGTGGGGAGGGGTCAAACCCTGTCTCTGTCCCCAGACCATGCATTTTCAGCTCAGCCCCCAGGCCCTGCACCTGGAGAGCCCATCCTGCCACATCCCTTGACACATGTCACCCCTCACTACCTCCTGCTGCGTGGTGAGTCGCTCACCACTTAGGGGTTCAGACAGCCACCACTGGATTATTTGCTCACGATCCTGGGTCAGCAGGCTGGCCCGGTCTGCTGGGTGCCTCTCCTGACCTCACGCAGGGTCACTGCTCCTCTGGCTACATCGTGGGTTGGCCACCTGACCCTCTCTGGGTTCTGATGGCCACAAACATGTCAGGAGGCAGACGCAAGGGTGCCTGTCCCTTCTCGCCAGCCAAGGCCAGAAAGACCAGCTGCACCCTGGAGAAAGGTCGGGAAGGTTGCACCTCAGACAGAGGCAGCTTCTTTCCCTTCTCTAGGTTTGCTTGTGTAGGGAAGTAGACACCCCCAGATGTCTGAATTGTCAAATATCTGCAGTCGCACACAGTGTAGCGCAGTCACGCTCTCGTGTGTTCGCTCTGGCCTGTGGGTCCCGGTTCAGTGAGGGGCAGCTCACAGTAAAGCGAGGCTTCTCATAAATCAGGAGCAGTCACACAGCAGCCAAGCCCAGTGCACCCTGCGCAGTCCCCCCAGGTGGCAAAGCATTTTCCATCTCAGAGATTGGGTCTGGGGGCCCCGAATGAGCCCCCCGCTCAGAGTCCCTGTCAGCCAGACTGAGCCGCTGGCGTCCGCGCCCAGGCTGACCCAGATGCTGGCTGTCATCACCTCCCCGACCACACTTGCCACTCCTGTCCAGGTGGTGCTGGAGAGGCAGCCTGCTCCCCAGGTGTCCCTGAGTGACAGTCCTGCCCCAGCCTCATCGCCCTCCTGCCCACTCCTCTGCCAGGGTGGAGCACCCAAGGGATGCAGGCGGAGTCTCCATGGGGCAGGACATCAGGGTCCCCATTGGCAGAGGCATGAAACTAAGCTGGTATCTTTGTTCCTTTCCTAGGGCAGGGGGTCCTGGTGGACCCAGATGGACAGGTGTACCAGGGGTCCTTCCATGACAACAAGAGGCATGGCTGGGGTCAGATGCTCTTTAGGTGAGTACGCGACTGGGAGGCATGAATCCTGGGGTGCCCCTGGTAGGCGGGGGCTAGCTCTCAGAGCCACATCCTGCAGTCCACACTGCAATCCCTGCCTTGTGGGACAGAACCCAGGGCCACCTGCACAAGGTAGGTCCTCCATCACTGAGCCAACCCCAGGCTCTGTTGTTGACATCGCTTGTTCAGTAGGAAAAGTCCTCTCTCCCAGTTAAGGCATCTAAGATGGAGGGAAGGTTGGGCCAGCAGGAAGGGGGAGCCAGGGGCTGGTGTGGCAAAGCTCGAGGACCCCTGGGCCAGCACAAGCCCCTCCAGGCAGGGCTCCATGTGCTAAGCCATGTGGCTTCTCACCGGCACAGCCACCAGCCCGGCTCCCCCGCCTCCGTCATTTCCATTCTAAGCGGCTGCCACTGAGTGCCGGGATGGGCAGATGCATGCCCACCTGTCCCCGCCCTCCTGGGTGCCCTGGTGCGGCAGCAGCTCCCAGGCCATCTGTTCAGGGCCTATTTTTGCCTCAGTCCCCGAGGTGGAGCTGGTCTGAGTCCTGGCACCACCTGGCTCCCACCTGAGACGTCTCTGCTGTGCCCTCAGGAGCGGTGACGAGTATGAAGGTGACTGGATCCGGGACGGGCGCCAGGGACACGGGGTACTGCGCTTTGCTGATGGCTCCACATACAAGGTGCCCCCTGTCCCCCTGATGTGAGGCTCTGCACTGGGTGGGAGCTCTAAGGGGCATTTGAGGGAGCTCTGCCCTGGCAGCCAGTATCCCCAGGGTGATGGGCACAGGGCACTGTCAGCCCCGACTCCAGGGTGAGTCCCTCCAGCTGTCCTGGCCCTAGGTAGGATGTTCCTCACCAGAAGTCAGGCTAGTGCGAACTCAGTGTGTCTGCCCTGCCCTCCTGCGCACAGGACACCTCACAGAAGGAAGCCCAGGGCCTGGCTCTCAGGCCGGAGTCTCTCCAGCCGAGCTGGAGGAGGGACAAGCCAGTGTGGGGCTCCAGGGGCTGGGGGAGGGGCTGAGGTGAGCCGCCTCCTCCCTACATGACCCGGGCCCCTGACTGCTCAGAGAGGCGCTGCGCAGTGGGTCCTGTGTGAGCGAGGGTCTCCCTTACCACAGTGTCTCCCTTACACAGTGGCTGCTGTCTGCAGAACTGGTCTGCAGGATCTGTGTGCCAGAGAGACAGATTGGGACTGGAATACCAGTCCTGGCTTCATGTGGGCAGGGGCTGTGATGGTCCCTGTGTCACCCACTGGGAGACGGGAGGGAAAAGAGGGTGACAGGACCAGGCACAGTGGTGCACACATCTGCAGTCCCAGCTACTTGAGAGGCTGAGGCAGGAGGATCACAACTTCAAGTTCAGCGTGGGCAACTTAGCGGGACCCTACCTCAAAATAAGAAGGGCTAGGGGGGCCGGGGATTTAGCTCAGTGGTTTTGCCACCTGCTGAGGTAGTGCAAGGACCTGAGTTCGATCCCCAGTACCAATAAATACATAAATAAATAAAATTTTAAAAGGGCTGGGTGACTTCCCAGAAGTGGTGAACAGCAGAGAAACAGCCTCTCCAAGATTTGGTGTCCAGGTGCTGGAATGCAGCAATGTGAGAAGAGGAGAAAGAGGGAAGTGGGTCCCTGGGACTCGGCAAGGATTGAAACAAGAATTGAAGCCCACAGGGAGAGCAAAGACAGAGACCTCAACCCTCAAGAAGGAAGTAGCAAGCGGTGCTTTCTCCCTGAGCCCCGACTCACTGTGTGGGAGGGGCAGCTCGAATCTATAGACACACGGTGACTACTGGCAACTCCAGAGGCCCCCACAGAGAAGCGCATCAGTGGAATGGAGCAGTGGACACAGCAGACTGCAAGTGACAAGTTGTTTGAGTTCAGACATCCCCGAAGAGAGAGCAATTGGCTGGTAGCCATCTTGGAGAGGGCCAGCTGAGCCCAGAACTCAGAGCAGCTGCAGGCTGGCTGCATTTAGCAGCTCCCAGTGTCAGGGTGAGGTGGAACCAAGTGCAAGTTGGCAGGAGGTCAGGGAGCTGAGTTCAAGACAGGAGGAGGCACATGGAGTATTGCAGGCTGAACAAATCAGGTTCCAGCCTCACAGCCACAAACCAGCCTGAGCTTCAGTGGAACTAAAGGTGCAGGCTTGCTGGGATTATCCACTGCCCTGCCGAAAATCTGCAGCTGACTTGCTGGGATTAATCAACACAGATCTGGGCTCTGTCTGCCTGCTGTGTCTACCAGTGACAACAGAGACACACTCTGGAGTGGACATTTATTTTTCATTTGTTTTTCTTTTCTTTTTTTCTTGATTTTATATGAGTGTGAACATTGTAGTTTTTTGTTGTTCTGTTGTTTTTATTTCTTCCTCCTCACTTTGCCTCCCGTCTTCGTCACCAGTTACCCAAAGTTCACATAATCTTTCTTTGTCTTCCAGCTTTACTTTTAATCTCTTCCTCTTCTATTTCTCTATTTTTCCCCCTAACCTTTTTAAATTTTCTCCCCTGATGGTAAAATCGCCATATTAAGGGCATATTTACTGAATTTTCTGTTTTGTTTTAGATTTTTTTATATAACCCTTAGTATAGTTCATACTGTGAAAGGTGGCAAACTAATAGTTACCACAATTTGTCATTCTTTAGGCTATGTTCAATACTGTTGTTATTCCTGGTTGTACTGTGTTAGCCAAGGTGACATAATTGTTCTGATCAGTTGTTCTTCCTGATATGTCAAGACTGAGATTGCCTAAGGGTCATAAAGAAGACCAAAGGCCAGTGCCAAAGAACCAGGGGCTAAGTCAAATAGGCAGCAACTTCTTATAATAAATTGAAGAGGTAGGGTCTTGCAACAGACTCAAAACCCAAAAGCCAGCTATGCCTGGAAGACATCTCTGAGTAGTAGTCATATTCTAAGGGTTCTAAATTCTAGCAATAAAGTTACCTGCCATAACAAGCATAGGAATTAAACAAAAAAATACAAAATGAGAAGACATTTAAGCAAGATTCAACCCCAGACTTCCAGCTCACCAAAGGCAAACCCAGGAGGCAATGAGGTGGAACATTTTGAAAGCCATTCAGATAGATTCTCTGAAGTGCTAACAGTGAAAGTAGCAAAGCAGATGAATGAGGCTTGAGGAAAAACAAAATCAGAAATTATTTCTCAGATAACTACAGAGATGGTGACCATAATGAAAGACCTGGTTAGTGACTCTAGAGCAGATACAGATAAAAAAAAAAAGAGGAGCTTAGGAAAAGGATGGAAACCACGAACGCTCAACATAGGAAAGAAATGGAATCCATGAAACAGTCAAACATATCCAGGAGATTAAAAATTCCATTGAATGTATATGCAGCAGAATGAGGTAATGTGAGGACAGAATATCAGATCTAGAAGGCAGGACTGAGGTTAGGGATCATAAAAAGAAAGATTTATTTAAAATAACAAGGAACCACAAAAACAATCCAACAGCTGCTAGATGATGTAAAGAAGAATAACAGGATTGATAGGAGTCAATGAGAAAGCAGGAGACAGTGAAAAAGGCATTTAAAACCTATTCACAGAAGTAATGGCAGAAAACTTCCCAAGCAGGGAAAAATAATTTGACATGCAGATAGGTGAAGCATACAGAATCCCAGTTAGCCATGATAAAAAAAAAAAAAAATCTACACCAAGGGCATATAATAGTCTAGAGTCCAGAAATTCAGCACAGCAAAATATTAAAAGCTGTTAGAGAAAAGAAACAAGTCACCTATACAGTGAAGCCTATCAGAATCACAGAAGACTTGCCAACACAAACCCTCAAGGAGCACTTGGAGGGAAGTATGTCAAGCCCTAAAAGAAAACCTCCAACCCAGGTTTATGTACCCTGCAAAACTATCTTTCAAAATTGATGTAAAAATAAGATGCTTTCATGACAGAGAACACCCGAAGAAATTCATGACCACCAAACCAACAGTCCAAAATGTTCTGAAGGACATTCTAGAAAGAGATAACAAGGACTACAACCCCATGAATCCCAACAGAATGAATCCACCAGGCAAGGCAAGAAATTAAGCAGCGGGGGGAGGGAACCAACAACAGGAAAATAACATGACAAGGATAAGTCAGTGCCTATCAGTTATAACCATCAATGTAAAGGATCTCATTTTACCAATCAAAAGAAACAAACTGGCAGAATGGATCAAGAAGCAAGATCCAGCAATATGCTGCATACAGGAAACACATTTAATTCAAAAATTCATAAACTGAAAGTCAAAAGGTGGAAAACAATACTCCATGCAATAGGAACCTAGAAAAGAGCAGGGGTAGCTATTCTATTTGCAAAGTGGATTTGAAGCCAAGACTGATTGAGACAAAGTCACTACATCCTCGTAAAGGGAACAATCCAGGAGGAAGAGAGAACAATCATAAATATATAGCGCCAAATAGCAGTGTACCCAACTACATAAAACATATTAACAGACATGAAAAATCAAATAAGCATTAATATATTTGTAATGGGGGACCTCAATACCTCATGCCACAAATAGACAAAAAATCCACAAAGAAATATCAGAACTGAATCAAACTTTTGAACAAATGGACGTAGTAGATGTTTACAGAGTGTTCCATCCCACAGTATCAGAATACACATTTTTTTCAGCTGCACATGGGATGTTCTCTAAAATAGACCACATACTAGCTCATAGAACATGCTGAAGTAAATGCAAAGGAATTGAAATTATCCCATGCATATTATCAGACCATAGTGCAATGAAATTGGAAATCAGTGGCAAAAAACAAAAACTCCATAAACACATGGAAATTAAATAACACCCTCCTGAAAAATCAATGGGTCACACATGAAATTAAAGAGGAAACTAGACAGTTTCTACAATTAAACGATAATCCCAATACAACATACCAGAATTTATGGATCACAATGTCCTACAAGAAAAATTTATAGCAGTGAATTCCCATATCAGAAAAACAGAGCGGGCTCAAATAAACAACCTAATGTTGAACCTCAGGCATCTAGAAAAAGAAGAGTAAGTCAAACCCAAAGCTCATATGAGGGAGGAAATTATAAAGATCAGAGCAGAAATTAATACAGTGTAGACTAAGAAAACAGTACAAAGAATCAATGAATCAAGGAGTTGGTTCTTTTTTTTTTTTGAGTTGGTTCTTTGAAAGATTAAATAAAATTAACAAACCCTTAGCCAAACTCATCAAAAAAAGGAAAGAAAGGCCCAAATCCATCCAATTAGGAATGAAAAGGAGAAATCACAACAGACTCTGCAGAAATCCAGAGGATCAGTACCTACTTCAAGAAACTATATTCTAATAAGATGGAAAATACAGAAAAAATGGACAGGTTCCTAGATACATGTGAATTACCAAGCTGAATCAAGAAGATATAAAAATTCTAAATAAATCAATATCATTCAATGAAATTGAGGATGTAATTGAAAATCGACCAACAAAGAAAAGCTCAGGCCCTGACAGATCCACTGCTGATTCTATAAGAAATTTAGAGAGCACCTAATGCCACTACTTCTCAAACTCTTTAATGAAATTGAAAGGGAAGCAGTACTCCCAAACTCATTCCTGGAAGCAAGCTTTACCCTGATACTAAAATCAGAGAAGGATCCAACAAAAAGAACTACAGGCCAATCTCCCTAATGAACATAGATGCAGGAATTCT